AAATATGGCTTATTTTGATTGGGCTAGTATTCTTGGCTTAGCCTTCTTGATTGTAACTTCAGAAACAAATTATTCACCAGCGAACTGCAAGTTCAACTGGGTGTTTACGAAGTATTACCTGCAAGTAAGTAATCATCATTTATAACATATATAGCATCTCTAATCAATAGTTTTAGTATATAATTGTTGATCAAAACCCAGTGTGGTTGTTTCTGTACTTTAGTATAACATTTACTATTTCTGTAACCTATGATACATATCACAGAACGTATTGTAACATACATGTATTTTTTTTTAGTAAACTACTGTTCATAAATCTTCTTTACTACATCCTACATTGGTGTTACTATTACCTAAAGGTAAGTAAACATTATAATATCTATACACAGAATTTAGGTTTAATAGTTACAGTGTATAGTTGTTATCAAAATCTAGTATAGCTATTTGTGTATTTTAGCATAATATGTACAGCTGGTGAAACCTGTTATACACATAAGAGAATGTATATACATGTAAGGAAAAAGTACACATCACATAATACATGAAATATAGATATGTAATGAAATAAAAAAGAAGAAATGTGATGATATAAAATGTGTAACATACATGTAATGATACACAATAGAAAATGTATAATAAAGCCTTATATTTTTTCCTTGTAGAAATGGACTTTGAACTTAAAGAAAAATAAAAAAAATGTGAAGAAGAAGGTCCTAACACAGGAGGAAATTGAGTTCCTCCTAAATGTTTCATTTTCTTTGAATGAAGGAGGCCTGTCATAGGCATCTGAAGTTGATTCTTCTCTTGCAATGCCTCTGACAGAAGTTCTTCATAAAAGTCAATGGCTGAAAAATACTGAACCAACTCTTCTTGATTTTGTCCTGTGGACAGATCAGGATGTAGCTGGTGAAAGATCACTAAAGGAAGATAGTCCTAAAGAACCACCACCACCAAAAATTGTCAGGACAGGAAGAAGAGGGAAGGGCAGAGCTAGAGCTTCTAGTGGAGCTGTTCCTTCCAAACAGGAGAGGTCTCTCTCCTGTAATGATACATGGAGATAGACAGAAATCATTGAAGAACAAAATGGACAATCCACATTTATCAGAGGTGCACCTGCTAGAGATTGAGTTGATTTTTTTAACGTTTTTTACGATAGAAATAATACAATTTATCATCAATGAAACAAATAGGTATGCTAGTGACAATGAAACTGTGAAATGGACTAATGCTAATACTTTGATCTCACTATAGCTATGGGTCTCAAGCCTCTTCTTTCTCTTTCTGACTACTGGTCTTCCTATCCTCTTTTTCATACTCTGGGCTAACTAATATCTTATCTAGGGACAGGTTTTTTGCTATTCACAGATACTTATATTTCAATAACAATACCAATGCTCTACCTAAAACTGCTCCTAACTATGATAAACATTTCAAAGTAAGACCTATCATAAACCTTATTCTGAAATCCTTTGTTTCCCACTATTCTCCTAACAGAGAACTATCTATAAATGAGCAAATGTTAGGCACAATATGTAGAACTGGTTTCCTTCGACACATGCCCAAAAAACTTGTCAAGTGGTGTATCAAGTTGTGAGTTCTGGGAGAAGCTGTAAGTGGATACTATCTTAAATTTAAAATCTACACAAACTCCAGCTAGGGGCCTTGCAGACAAAGTTGTGATGGAAAAATACAAGACTAGGACATAGGGTTTTCATGGACAATTTTTACACTTCCCCTAATTTATTTGACAAATTATTGTCTGTTGGAACCTATGCTTGTGAAACACGCAGGAAAGATAGATTGTATTTTCCACAGGAACTAGCAGGTACTAACTTATGCAAGGGAGAAGTATGTTTTTTTTAAATGTAAAACTTTGACAGCTGTAAAATGGACAGAAAAACAAGACATTTATGCCCTTTCCACTTTTCACTCTAGTACTATGATAACTGACAAAAAGAGGGAGAAATACTGAGGTTACAAATCCTCAGTTGATTGTGGACTACAACAAGTTTATGGGTGGGGTGAACCTGAATGACGAACACATAAACTACTATTCTACTGGACGAAAGACGATAATAAAGTGGTATAAGAAATTGTTTTTCTTTTCAACTTTTGGACTTGAAAATTGTAAATTCTTACATACTGTACAAAATGCAGACCAACCAGCCAACATTGTCTCAGAAGGTCTTCAGAATGGATTTGGTCAGAAAGCCTCTACTTCAAAGCAGATCAGGTCCTTGTGGTACACCACTTGCAAGGACTGTTCACGACTCTTCAACTCTGAGATTAACTGTTGGAAGGCATTACCCCACCCTTGTTGAGAAAGGTGATAGAAAAAGATGCAGACTCTGCCTTACAAACAACAAGATACAAATGAAGTGTAAACTCTGTAATGAGTTTCCTTGTTTCAAACACTTTGATGAATATCATATTACCACTGTTCTTCAAAGAAGTTAAAAGTTTCTGCAGTTTCCTCTTCCTCTGGTTCTTATTTGATTTTTGGTTTTATTAACGAACTATTTTTGTACAAGTTTTCATCGATCTATACACTTTTGTATGTATAGTAATAATGTTCCTTTTCATGTGTTATTTGAGTTTGAACAACTTTTCATAATTTCATACAGTTTAGTGTACTTTATTCTCCACATAAGTGAGAACTTTTTAATATCTTTTTTTTTTACTGAAATATTTTTGTACAAGTTTTCCTTGTATACTTTCTTGTACTCAGTAATTATGTTATTTTCATGTGGTCTTTGAGTTTGTACAAACTTTTCACTATTTCATACAGTTTGTATGTACACTGTTTTACACATATGTGATTACTTTTTATTTGAAAGTAAACTAATATGTTCTAAAACTTCTCAATTTTTTTTCATTTTTAATATTGGTTTTGTATTGAAACATTTATACAGAAATTTTTCTTTACCTACACACATTTATGTAAAGATGTTCCTTTTCATGTGTTAAAATTAGTTTATCAGTGATAATTTATTTCAATGACTTTCTCAAATTATATAAATAAACTTTTTTTGAATTACCATGTTTTTAGTTTTGTATATGTTTTTATTCTACTTCAATGTAAAAGAGTAAAAAAATAACAAAAGTTCTTACTTTGTACAATACAATACTATACATTACATATGTGTATATATATTATCAATATTTTCAAATAACTACTTAAATGTTAGTTGTTGTTTTTTTCAAACATAGAACAGTAAATAAAAAATATTTGGAAGACAATGATCTCTACTACTTATGATTCTACGAAGGCATTATTTGCACTCGTGAGCCATACTTGCTAAGCCTTGTCCAAATTCACATGTGGAGTTGGAAAAATAATTTTTGTACACTTTAAATAAGCATTTTGGAATACATAAAAAAATTATAAATTACTATACTGATACTCCAAAAATCCTCTGTAATTTATCAGGCTTCCTAACTAAATTGTATTTGGGTCTAAAAAAATATCCTTTCTATTCACAAGATTGCCTTGATTGTAATACTTCAAACTTTCCAATGATATAAGAGCTTTTCTCTTGTAAATAACTTAAGTGTGACAAAATTATGTAAAGAAATGTATAGGTTTCGATTGGTTATAAAGTTATTGGTATATAAAAGTAGTCGTAGATAAATAAGTCTTCTCAATTCATGAAGTGGTGGGCAGAACCAATATGGTGGGTTCGCTAAATATCATGATATCTCAGCAAATAGAAAAGGTAGGAGGTTCTTATTTTATATTCTAGCTTGCCAATATTGGAAATTTGAGTTTCTGATTCATACAAAATTATAGACATTGTATTGTGGCCATCACAAATTGTAATCTGACCAAACCCAAAAGGCCACGTACAGGTGACACACAAAAATTGACATTTAGCCTTTTTTTAATATTCACTTTCAAATTAAGAAACTAACTAATGTGTAATACTAAATTTGACATATAATCTACAATTTGATGCCAAACTTATTGACATAGATCTATAAAATAAGAGTTAAATAAAATATTGAATGCAAGTCTACAAACATGATGACGTGCCCTATGAGCCTATCCATCTTGATAGGGTTAATACATAAACAGATATACAACTAAACAAGATTACACTGTAAAGTAGGAAAACTTAAATAAAATTCAACTACCTAAATTGTGAGTAAAAGTTCAGAAACTCTTTTCTGATTGTTTAATTTCAGCTTCTTTTGAAGAATTAGAAGAGTCTTCTTTACCCATAGCATAATTGTGTCTTCGGCTGTATCGATTACTTTGAATGTACAGGGAAATGGGACCACATCACATTCACATGATGTGGTCCCATTCCCCATACATTCAAAGCAATTGGTAAAACCAAAAACAATACTATACTTCAGGGAAAGGAGACTCTTTTAATTCTTCAAAAGAAGCTAAAATTACACAATTTGCAAAGTGCTACAATTAAACAATCTTCATCTTTCTCTGATGTTTCCCACCCACTTTTGGCTTACTAGCAGTGTAATGCACAATGGGTACTGATGACACTTCACATGAGATACTTGTTTGATAAGTTAGTTTAAGAACAATGAAAGATGTTTTCATTTTTTTCTGATACTTACATTAAACGTAATGCACAATAAGTCTGAAGATTTGCCACTTTAGACACTTGTTTTGTAAGTTAAGATATGAAAAGAGATATGACATTTAACAATAAATATAGACCCACAATAATACTGTTGGATGTGTAAAAAAAATATTTCTGACTTGCATTTTTGCAGTCCCACAAGCTAATTAAAACTTTCAGCTCTATTCACTCAATGCTATGCATTTTTCCAAAAAATGCAGACATTACATCAAAATTCAGATATATGAAAATCAATCATCTTAATAAAACTTAATCGTATTTGAAAAAAATCGCCAAACTAGAAAATTCTCTCTAAATTAATTGGAACTTAATTATATGCATTTTATATATGTATATTACACTTTCAATTTACTCCTTCTTTTCTTTAAAGAATACTAAACTGTTTTCACTCACGCTTTGGGCCACTTGTTTTGAAGTTCTAGCCATAAATCCTTTGTCAACATCCACCCAAGTCCAGGAAAAAAGTCAGACCTGTGAAGAATTTCTGAAAAAAGCAAAAAAGGGAATATTTTCAAATTTCAGTATCTAAGAAGTATGCCTTTAAGATTCCTACACAATAATAAAAAGTACAAAATAGAACAAGGACAAAATTCATAAAATGAAACACTTCAGTCTATAACATCCTGTATCTTTTTAAGCAGATGCATTCTATATCCTGTATTTTTTCAGTAGATGTTCAACATGACATCCGGTATTTTTTTCAAACAATGCATGCATTAACATTCTTTATATTTTTACAGTAAGTGACCACACTCACACCAAAGTCAACATTCTTTATCTTGTACACAACTTCCTGTTAAATATAAAGATACTAGAAGTTATTTGAAGTTAAAGTAACGAAGACAACCTAAGATTTATAGCCTAATTAATTCCATTTTTCTGTGAATCAAAATCACAAAAGGACTGACAGTCCATAACCAGAAACATTTTACTTGGTTGTACTTTTTTGTGTAAATTATAAACACAGCAAGTAAAGTTATTATAATATTTACAAAACACTGATTACTTAGGTAATTTTCCCCAAGTAATATGTTTATTTGTTAATAAATATAACAGTGAGATACCATTAATACAAGCATTACACACACAGATCACAACACCAACCTCAACTGATAGTTCAAATACTTTAATAGTAGTGGTGAACTCAGTAAAAAGTTGCACATTACACTAACAAACAAAAGAATTATGCAAGGTTTTGTTTAAACATTAAGAGTGTGAAAAAACAGTGTCAAAGACTTCAAAAAACACATTTCTCAGAATTAGATATTAAAGTTACATCACAAACTCACAAGCCCTACAAACTCTACATTAATATAACACAGACAAGAAAGGACTAAGAGCATAAACAGGCAAATCCATAGACAGATATTCATGTCATACAGAAGCATATCTATGTATTCACTATGTATTCAATATTTGACAGACAAAATATTACCAATCACAATGTTTTACAAGTTAAACATGACAAGCAACATGCATAATCATTCTCTGAACACAGTAAGCTATGCAAATTTAAGATTTAAAACAACATTAGACATAAATATGCAACTTTGAATAAGATTAATCAAGACTAGAAATGTTTATATATTCATAAGAGAGACAACACTTTTCATCTTTTAACCTAAAAAATCTTTTCTCAATCAAAGCTGATAATGGAATCAGGAACAGGAAATACTAATTATCATAAACACCAATGTGTAGGCAAAAATGTATCACCGAATGTTACTCTTTGAATTATGGTAGACATGAATAGTACACTACACAACTATTACATTATAGAAACAGAAATACCTACACAATAAAGCTTATAAATTATAAATGAATTATCTCACAATACTAATTACCTTTACAACTGTATTTTATTTTTCACTTTTCACAATAAGAAATTCAAGACCAATGCACAAGTTTATCTTATTAGAAGTTAGTTTATTTTGTAGACTTACTGTCATCACCAAATTAGTTTTTCTTCAGACATGCATAATATACACACATACTAATTAACACAGTGAACCAAGAATATGTACTGACACGTGAAAACACTGTAACAATAGATAACACAAGCAAGCCTATAACCACATATACCAATATCTTTAAAACCAACAAGCCAATACAATCAATAATGTAAACAAGCAAGCTTTTGTACAAAAACAGGCTTTAACACAACAAATGACATTGCAAGCAAGTCTTTGAATAAGAATTGAACACACATACATCACATCTAATTACACAATATCAACCAAAAAGTTTTAAAATACTTACCAGGGTTTTCAGCCACCATTCCATTTTTTCCATTATCATTCCAGGCAGATATACACCAGAGTGTTAGATCTGATTTAAGAATTGGGTAAAGAGCTAGAAAGTACTCAAAAAAATCTGGAGAAATGTCTAAGTCATCTGGGGGGGAAAAAGATTATTATTTCACACATATTAACTTACAAATTCAAAGAGTATGTTATGTACAATTTTTATAACTTTTTATTTATCTATAAACAACAATCCCTACTAGCAACCATCAAAGCATTTGCTAATTGGTTCTCCATATCTTTTATTCAGAGAAATCACTAGGCAACTATTCTATTTTCCTCACATTTCCAAACAAAAAGCATGATTTTAAAAACAAATTTTTTGGATCCATTCTATGCTTAAAACAGCTTTAAGCTACAGGAATCTATTCATACATTTATAAAGATACAAAAAAGATTATTCATAGAGAATTTTTTTAACAGAAATTATATGTTGATTGAAGAAACTAAGGACCTACTTTTAATGCCCTTTGCATTAACAAATATATTACACAGTTTTCAGCACTCAGACAAAATATATTCAAAAGCCCAGACTGTATATTTTAAGTATTAGTAGAAGCTAAATACATTCTAGTATGTCATTCAAATATAATGAATACTTAGATAGATTTGAGGATCTATACACCTGTATCATATTTAAAGAAGAATGTCATTAACAAAATTATACAACTAAAATTTAAACTTTTTCACATAGTGTAAAAGAAAACATGAAAATAAATATGGCTTGGAAAATTACAAATAACAAGATGTACTAGAAATAACAAAGAATTAACCCTCTCACTATGGTCTCAATCAATTTGGCCAAATTTGTAACCCCAAAGTGACCATCAGAGTTTCCATACAATAACTTTTAATATGTTTTATGTATCTTCATTAAATATGGCAAGCTTTCAGTACACATAATTCTTTTGTACACAAAAAATTGGATTTTTTAACTCTTTCAGCACAAGCTCAGTCCCTGGGACTGACCTTGTAACCATTTTATGTTTCTTATAGTTATCATGCTATAACTTTTAAATTAGTAAGAGTATGTTAACAAATTTTAGAAGATTATCGGTAAACATTACAATGCATTCATACACGAAATATCAAATTTTTTTTATTAAGTCTTAAGGTTTCCAAAGCAATGTTTTTCTCATGCTTTTTTTTCTTTTAGCATGTTGCCTGTCTAACATGCAAAATAATTTTCATTTTAAGATTAAAAATACTTTTATGCATCAGAAAATTTTCAAATTTGAGATGCAAAATCTTTATAATGTTCAGATAGTTATAAAATGTTTCTTAATAAAACTTTATATTTTATCTGTTATTTTCAGTTACAAATCTCTTGTACAGGTTTGGTTGATTTGATTGATCTTGTAACAACGTTAAAAAATTAGGAAATAAATATAAATTATGCCTTTTCATTCTAGAATGACTAAAAATTATAACATGAAAACATAAATGTTTAGATTAAATAGCTTATATCTTATAACATTATACATTTATACATATTTATTATTTTTATTATATTGACCTTTCAGCTGTGCCTGGCTAAGAATACAGAAGTTACAATGATGCAGCACATGTTCACTCATGTTACCATATCCAGTAAAATAAAACCGACCTATAGTCTTTACAAAGTGACCTGTCTTGGCTGTG